CGGGAGCCGAGGCCCTGTGTGGGGCCTGCAGCGCTGCTCTGCCCGCGGCGTGCGAGGCCACCTTGACCCGGCACGGCCTCGGCAACCGGCAGCGCGCGGGCCAGCGCAGAGCCTCAGTTGCCGCCGCGTAGCGCGCTGCGGGCCCCAGGGAGCGAGCAGGAGACTCTGAGCCCTGGCGGGTGGTTCTGCTTCCCGGCCGCCCCCAAGCAAGCCGCCAGCAAACCTCCAGTCTGCGTGCGGGTGCGCTCCTGAGGTTATGTCGGTAGCACTACCGACCACATTGGATTTGTTGCATACGCGGCTGGTGGAATGAGTTTAGAGGCGGGAGGAGTAACCGAATTGAAGAGGAGTGTCCCAAGCCAAAGCCACTTTTCAGAGCTATTCCTGGCATAGGAAAATCCGAGGCGACACATTGCTAGGGCTGCTTCTCTCTCACTCTCGTGCCTGCTTTGTGGTGCTCCTTATGTTAATATATACACTCTATGACTACATAGGGAAGTAACTGAAGTCACCTAATTTTGTGAGGCGTGGGCATGTTTTTTTTGTTAACTCAAGCCAAAAAATAAGTGGTCATGCTGAGGCCCCTCCATTTGCATTCACAGTCATACATGACCCTTCCGTTTTACTGTCCCAGTTTAGTTTCTATAACAGGGGTGGGCAATAATTTTTGTAAGGGGTGGGACACATCACCAATTTTGGAGGTAGTGGTGGCTGGCTGTGGGGCAGAGGAGCACATGAGATCTCTTGCACCTGCCCAGCCGAGGCACACAATGCCTAGAGGGAATTGCTAGTGTTTTGAACTGCTGGCCGTTCCCTCTGGAGCAGTGTACCCCTGATGGGGGGAGGAGACTCCATGCACTCTTCTGACCCTGGGTCTTGATTGGCCTGGAGGCAGGGCGCAGCGCTGCCAGCTGCAGACTGGATCAAATGGCTTGGCAGGCTGGATTCAGTCCCTGGGCCATATATTGCCCTTTCTATGAAGAAGCTTTTTTAATGTCAAAGTATATCTTGCTTTTTTAACTTTTGGGTTTAATATCCAGATTATCTTGAGGTGTCTGTACAAACTAGGGATGTTAAAAAGTGCTTAATTAGGTAACCATGTAACTGTTAAGTCTTAGCAGTTATTCGTAATGGGCTCTGCAGTATAAAGTTTTAACCCCCGGAGCTGGGCAGGCAGCAAGTGTGCACTGGGAGCTGGCTCAGCTGCTGACTCCACTCCTGGGGAGGCCTACAGCATGGGGCGGCAGCTCACTTCCACCTCCTGCTCTGCTCTTGGGGACCCAGTTGCCTCCCTTGCACTGCTGCCTCTGATTCAGGGTGGGTTGGGGGGGAGAAGAAAGAGAACAGGGTGAGGGGTGGTCTGGATTGAGGGGAGGAAGGGGTCCTTAGCCTTAGCCCAAGTCCCTGCCTTGAAGGACCCAGGCAAGGCGGCTGGTTAAATCTGCTAGTTTAAAAAAAAAAATCAGTGTACCATTTGTCTCCTGGGCTATGTGTAGCAGTGAACAAAATGAATATTGTTGTTTGCGGGATTTGGCACTAAATCTTTTTATTACAGCCTAGCTATAGAAATAGGCTGCTTTTTGTACTCTAGGTAGCTGTTACTGACAGACAGATGAAGCTGCCAATATATATTTCTGTTTAGGCCTTGCCTGGTTGAGCGTAAGTCAACAATTCTCTGATTTCTGACCTTTCTATTTCAGTGTATAATAAAGGGTGCTCTCCTGATACCAACAACAATAAAGTTGATAACTTTTAGAAAGATCTCTTTGTATCCTTCAACTATGTGAACTCTTACCTGTATGATCAGCAAAGGAGCAGATTTGTTTGCAAGTGTTTGATAGTTCATTCCATTTGTGAAGCAATGGATATAGAAGAAGAACATATAGCATTTAGATAATGCTTTGTATTTTTTGAAACAAGGGACAAACAATCCGTATTCACATCACCCTTCTCGCATATTGAGTCCAGTGATATTGTTAACTTTGTCCTATGGCATGGACATTGTGGCTATGTCTACATTTGCGGCTTCTTGCGCAAGTAATATGCAAATGAGGCTAAGCATGGAATATTGCTGAGCCTCATTTGCATACCTAATGAGTCACCATTTTTTTTCAGAAGAGGCTCTCGCGCAAGGAGTGTCTACACTGCCCCTTCTTGCGCAAGAAAAACCCTCTTGCGCAATGCCGTTCTTCCTGAAAAGTAAATAGGTGTAACGGCATTGCACAAGAGGATTTTTCTTGTGCAAGAAGGGGCAGTGTAGATGCTCCTTCTTGCGCAAGAGCCTCTTCTGAAACACATGGTGGCTCATTAGGTATGCAAATGAGGCTCAGCGATAGTCCATGCTTAGCCTCATTTGCATATTACTCGCGCAAGAAGCTGTGAGTGTAGACATAGCCTGTGGGAGAGGGTTCTGAAGCTTTTATTTTTTCATGAGTACTAGGAGTTGTAATCTCATCTTGGATAACTCTTTGTTTACAGTGTATTGAACTATGGAGATGACCTTTACTAGTTTCACCAGGTCTGTATGGATCACATTTCTGAGGGTTGGCAGGCTCTTTAGTTCAGAAATCAAGCTAAGAAATACATTTAAATGATTGTCACTCATCTACACAAAATCTGATGAATTACTTCTGTAGAAAAATCTTCTGAGTTTTTCACTGTTTTAATCTTTATGTAGTTAAATGAATATAACTGAAGCTCTCTTAACCAGTGAGTCTCTTTTGGAATGGGGAAAAATATATAATCAGATTTAGTGAAAAGGAATGGAAGGTACTATTAAAATATAATGGAAGATGAATGCCATGAGAGAGAGGAGTCAAAATGAAAGTGTAAAATGATAGGCAGCAAGAGGATCCAAATACAAGCAGAGAAGGCAGAAGATCAAAGGCCAGAAAGCTAATTAGTGGATCAGAGGTTAAGAAGTCAAACTGAAAAATGAAGGGGTGATAGTTGGGGAGGGAGGGCAGCTTAAGCAGCTTGACAGAGTATTTGGAAAGAGATGATACAGTAATGACATATTGCTTTAAAGAGAAATGAAATTGAGTTCTGAAGAAAGGTAAAAGTCCCCTACACTTATTTAAATTTACTTTTTAGAAATTCCGTCTCATAATTCATCACAGTCAGTATTAAGAAGCTTTCTAGGGAAAACTGGTGAGAATTCTAGTACAGTCCTAAACTACTTGGAAAAGGTAAAGACTGATCTACTATGGAAGACATGATGAGTTCCCTGATGTTCCAGAAGCACTGTAGCTCAAAAAATTTTTTTTTTTTTTTTTTTTTTTTGTATAGAGAGCTTCTTCCTTTGTCTAGCTGACACATTCCTGTTTCTGCCTCCTATCTTAGGGCTAGTCTATGCTACTGAGGGAGATCAATTTTAAGTTAAATGAATAACATAGCTGAATTTGACATACTTACTGCTGTCTCATCTCTGTGGTGCATTTATAGGAGATTATCTCCCGTCGTTTGCCCTTGTGCTTCTTGTTCCAGTGGAGTATGGGACTCGATGTCTAAGCGATCAGCCATTGATTTAGTGGGTCTTCATTACACCTGCTAAATCGACTCCTGGTGGATTGATCTCTACTTTCTCAATCCAGTTGGTAGAGGAGACATACCCTACCCTATGTAGTCCCACATAAGGCAACCCTTGCTAAATAATTGTCTGTTTTTGCCATACATACCTTGTTTCTGCTTTGAGGCCTAGTCTACACTGGGAGTTTAGGTTGAACTTGGTGGCATTAGGTCACCTTTTTTCCCCTAAACAATGAGTCCATACCACCAAGCCCATTTTGTCGCCTTTAAGGGCCTCTAAAGTCTGTTTCTGTACTCATGCTCTCACAAGAAGTAACTGCTAAATTCAACCTTGCATGGTTGACTTTCTGGTAGCGCAGAATCAGCGCTTTGAAAGTCAACGTTCTTGGCCTCTAGGCGGTGTCGTACGCTGTCCCTTGATGACTGCTCTGGTCACAACTTTCAACTCTAGTGCTCTCTAGGCGAATATGAAAAACCCCTGGAAATTTTGAATTTTGTTACCTGTGTTGCTGTTATGGTGAACAGACTTCAAAATAGGCAGCACTCCTGACCATGAGTTCCCAGGGTCACAGATGAGCACCAGCAGGGAGAGTGAGGAGATCCTGGACTCCATTACAGTGTCGGGAGAAGAATCTGTTCTTGCAGAACTACAAGCCAGCCAAAGAAATGCAGATATCTATGCCAAGATTGCAAAGGACATAGACAAGAGAGGATGCATTGAGAATGCCCAGGAGTACTGAGTGGAAAATAAAGGGGCTGAGGCAGTCATAACAAACAAAGGAGGCAAACAGGTGATCTGGAGCATTGTCCCAAACAGGCTGCTTTTAAGAGCAGCTGCATGTGATCCTTTAAGGCACGGGGTGGAGGGAGATGGAAACAGTTTCCCTAGCCAGTGTATGGATTCTTCCCAAGACGCTCAGGTAGCCTCAGGCAGCAGCATGGTGGAGGAGGAGAATGGTCAGCAGGCAAGTAGGGTAATTGACGTCACTGAGAGCCAAGAACTTTTTATAACCTTGTGA